AGAGAGAGAGAGAGAGAGAGAGAGAGAGAGAGAGAGAGAGAGAGAAGGGGAAAGGACAACACAGCCAAATTCTCCACAGTTTCCCCTGCTATCTCTTCTGCCAACACTTTTTTTAAAAAATAGTTTTTTTCTTGATTTTTCTACATTGTATTTTTCTGCCCCGTGGATGGTTGAAGGGCGCCACTTGTTGTAGGTCCTATTTCTGTTCTTTCCCGTTGCTTCCGTCTGTCTCTATTGCTTTTTCCCCCCAGGACTAAATGACCGTTGCCGTGTCGTCAAACGATAATCGATCAAGCCCGCCCCTTGTACGTCTCGGTCTGTCTCTTCTCCCCCCGCCCCCTCTCTAATCAAACCATCTCTAGAATTTACACCGACCCGTTTTGTGGTATTTACTATTGCCCTACCCATCTTTGCTCTACTATATTCGCTTGTGGGCCTTATAACACTGTCTTTGAACTGTGCCGGGAACGTCTGGTACGACAGACGAAAGTGGTGATGTATTGGTCGACGTTTTATTTTCAGTGATGACGATGCGTATGTGGTCTGTTAATAGAATGTTCCAGAAAATGCCTCTTGGGGTGAGAGCTAGAAAAGGATAAAGGATCGATGTTTTCCTCTGTGTTGCCACTTCTTGTGTCTCTTTGGGTGCTGTATATCTCCAAATTTGCTATCACACTCTTCCTATTTCATCTTAAGACTAGCCTTGACTTCCTTTTTCGGTGGGCTGTGATTTCTTCCGTCTTTGCCCAGCTACCATTGTTGATTTCTGTTGATTGAGGTCTATGTGCTTCTTCGTCTTTTAACTCTTTATCATCTTTATATGTTAGTGGAACATAATAGCTTCAATTTCTGTTACTTTAGTTTTGACATAAGTTTAGTCAAGAGTCTTTTGTTTTGGAGTTAACCTTTTTATTTTACTTCTCTTTTTGACTAGTAAGCTTACGGGTTTCTTCTAGTGCATTGGCGAATTGTTGTTTGGAGTCACACTGTTTGTTTTTAATTCTCTTTTTAAAAAGTAAGCTCACTGCATACTTCTAGTGTCTCAGAGAGTGTGATCTCTTTTACTTTGCGTCTGCAGTCTCAAGCGGTCAGGTTTTATCAGGCAAGAGGACCATTCTTTTCTTTTACTGGTACCTATGATGATATAAATCAGAAAGGAAGCAGAACCTCCTCGGTTTTACATGAATTTAAGAAAATATTGTGCTATGTTGTGTTACACATGTGTGATATTGCTTTGTTGTTGTTTTTTTCGCAGACTTCGGCAGGCAGGCTTGAAGGGCCTCCAGGGAGTTGTGCGTAAGACAATCAGTGACGACCTGCAGGTGAACATTTGGGAGGCTGTCCACATGGACAAGATTGTGCCCTCGTTGCTCTACAACATGCAGGACCAAGGGTAAGCTCTCCACGCTCTCCACTTCCACTCCCAGTGGGGACTCGGGGTTGTGTAGTGGTTTTGTTCTTTCCTGAGTTTATGGAACTAAATTTATTGTTTCAGTCTACAATTTTGCTGATTCTGATCTGACAGAACATGTTATTTGGGTACAGATTTTTCCTACTCTCGGTGTAATTGAACCCTGTTGTGTTCTCCACTCTGTTTCTTTTTGTTTTACCTCTCTTGTTTCAGTTTATCTGTCTTACTTTTTCCCAGCACTAAATGATCATTGATCGTTATTGTGTCAATGTTCTTCTCTTTACGAATCAAAATCAAAATTCCAACTGGAACTAGTGCACCTGTGTGTATGCCCTCACTATGACAGGGAGTGATCTTGAAATGACCACTTTTTCTGCTTGTTGATTTCAGTTATAGCCCTAGCAGTGATGCAGACGACAGCCCACGAGAAGAAGAAGAGCCCTCGCACATGGCGGAGGTTGTGTTTCGTGACCTCATCTGCCGCGCCTCATATGGAAACATCAAGTCTGTTTTGTCACCAGTGCTCATGTGAGGTTTTTTTCAGGCATTTCTCTCTCTCTCTCTCTCTCTCTCTCTCTCTCTCTCTCTCTCTCTCTCTCTGATGGCAATGTTTAGGTGGGTGTGTGTCTTTTTGTCAAATATTTCTTGTACAGCGAATAGATCAATTGAAGCATTTGGAATTTGGGAGAAAAGCCTAGCATTTGAAAATGCATTGAGTAAGAAATTTTGATTTATGGCTTGTAAAAGTGATCTGATGGACTTAACTTTGAGAACCAACACTTACCAATAGCATCCCTCTACCTCCCATCTCTGTCTGAGGGAGAGATTTGTCTGTGTTTCCTGTAAGGCAATAGATAGATGGTAAATCTACTGTCATTTTCAGATATGCTTGTGTCTGTTCTTTTTTTTTTTTTTTTACTTTCTCTCAGTATTCTATGAATGGTATTTTTACCTACTAGTATTTTAACCTCTGTCAAAACAATTTGGCAGGTGGTTGGAGGGCGCCCCTGGTAGGTCCTACTTTTTTACTTTCTTTCCGTTGTTTCTGTCTGTCTGTCTGTCTGTCTGTCTGTCTTTCTGTCTGTCTGTTTTACTTTTTCCCAGCCCAAAATTACCATTATTAGGTCGATGTGCTTCTGTTTACTCAAATAAACAAGCATCTTATTTTTTTTCACTTTCAGCCATCTGGACAATCACAACCTGTGGGTCCCAAATGACTTCGCCATCAGAGTCTTCAAGATTATCATGTTCTCTGTACAGGTTTGTTCACTCGTTCACAAAGGGTAGTTCTTGAACAAAGCAGGGCCTTCTACCCACACCAGCGATATATGTAGGTCCAGAAACAAATGAGATTTCTTGAATACAGCAGTTTTGTCATAGGCAGAAGCTGTTAATACACTAGAGTTCATGTGCTCTTTATGCACTGCAGTTCATGCTAAATAGTGTTTAATTGTATGAAATCAAGATTTTCTATGGTCATACATGGACCATATATCAGACAGGAGAATTTTTTTTAAATGCAGTAAAATAGAAAATGAAAAGTCTAGTTACCTGCCAAGAAAAGTCACCTGTCACTGTCACCTGTTACCATGACTGTGTTCATCCATTGGTGGCCCACTCTTTGTCACAACAGGCATCCATCTTCTCTGGTCTCTGCTTTGATGTGTTATTTCATGAAATTGTAGATGACTGTTGGATTTTATGCTTTCAATGTTTGATATGGGAGATTTTCCCTTATTTCTCTGTTTTTCTGTTTTTCTCTGTAGCACAGTTGTTGTTAGGTCTGTTTTTATGTTTTTATTTGGGGGACCAAGGTATCTGAATCTCCTTTTGTTTGTCTTAGAAAACAATCTACGCCATTTATCAAATTCTTTCAGGACATCTTCATTTGTTCTTTTATCTGTCTGGTTGGCAAGAAAAGTGGGATAATAAAATTTCGGTTGTGAAGGATAGTACCTCTGCCTGCTTAAGAATTCTGTCCTCTGTCAGAAGGTGGTTGCTGGGCAGCAGTGACAGGTGCTTCTTCTTCTCTTATCTCGGCTGTTTCTTTCTGTTCTTCTTGCGTTACTCAAGCATGAAATGGCTGTTATTTTGTTGATATGGGTCTTTTTATTCAAACTTACAAAGCAAACATGACCCCCCCCTCTCTAGTACTAAGGCCTTCTCAGTCTATTCCGTGCCAACTATAGTTTTTGTCTGACCCACAGAGCCAGCACGGATACCTTGTGGTTCAGCAACTCTTGGCTCATGTAGACAAACACGCGCGCAGCGACCCGCGCATCAAGACGTGTATTGTCACTGTGCTTTATGAGGCTGTGCTCATCGCCGCCGGCAACTCCACTGGCCCGTCGGTGCTAGAAGTGTTCAACAACTTGTTGAGACATCTCCGCATCTCCATTGATAGAAAGAGCTCAGACGAAGAACAAAGAAATGAAGAGGTCAAGTTTGAAGAGGTCGTTGTAAACACTATTGGTGAGTGAGCTTTAGAAGAGAAAGTATTTCTGAAATGACATTGTGCTTGACTGATGCTGAGAAAAATACATTTAGTTCTCAAATCACAAAGTACAAGAGGGAAGATAAGAGAAAGTAGTTCAGTGATCACAAATTGCATATGTGATGGTGAGAGAAAAAATTTCTGAGATCACAAAGTGTTGAAGTCATGGTTTTATAAAGAAGTTGTGAAATCACAGTGGGCTTGATGTCTCCAGGTTCTAGGGAAAAGTGAATAGTTATAGGTTATAGGAAGTCAACACGAGGATAACCATGTATTTTTCACTCCAGGACAAGGTCGAGGGATACATGAATGGAGCAGTTGTAGTTTATTTTGAGTTAAAGTGATAATAGCCGTGCTCTCAGCAGGGTTAAGGTAAAGGGATTAGGGAGTATTGCATTGTTGTTGAGTGTGGAGATATATTTACAGTGCACAGATGGCTCATTCTGTCTCCAGTTGGATTTTTTCCTTGTACTGGGAAATACACAGCATTGATTTATGAATGAATACTTCTTCTGTATTTGGAAAGTTGGAAAGACGAATAAAATAGAAAGCAGTTTTTTGCACTAATAAGAACAGATTTTGTTAATGTACTTTTGCCATATAAATGTACACTGTCCTATTTTTCTCCAAGGTGAATTTGCCAACAACCTCCCAGACTACCAAAAGATCGAAATCATGATGTTTATCATGGGAAAGTTCCCGCAGTTCACAAATGAGGAAGAAATCGGGTGAGTGAATAAATGTTTTGGTATTGAAAGATTGGGTGAGTGAAAAAGAAATAGGGTAAATTTAAAAGAGAGAGGGTTTGTAAAAAAGTGATTGGATGAATGGAGAAGAGATTGGGTGAGAGGAGAAGAGATTAGGTGAGTGTAAAAGGGATTGCGTAAGCGAAGCAGTTGGGTGAGGGGAAAGAAAGTTAGCTGACTCCACATCACAACTCTACTGTTGGTGTCCCTAGGGACAGGTTGAATGTTTTTGACCCTCAGGGTTGGCTTTCCATGTTTGAGTTGCGTTGCTTTCTAAAGTTCTGTGGCGTTAACTGCTTCTGAATACTGTTTGTTTGAAGTTTGTGTCATGTGTAGGTCATCCAGGGTGTCCAGCTGATTTGTTTCCAAGCTACTCACCAGTTGTCTTTTCAGCTTGTCTTTGAATCAGGAGGGATTGCAACCTATCACTTACAACTTGCTGATCAGCAACTATAATTTTCCTTTTTTCATGGAGGCAATGTGTAGCATGTGTCAAAACTTGAAGCTAACAGAAAGCTATTATGTGCTGCATGTATGCTTTCAGACTCATTCTCGTAAGATATTGTAAGAATGGCATGGACTCTGAAGTAATGGGATTTTAAGTTTTTCTTGAGGAGTTAAGGATAACAGGGATGCTGTTAATTTGGGGGCTTTATTTCCTGCTATTTCTTTTATCGCTGTTGAAAAGAACTTTAATTGTTCTCAATGATTATTATCTAGATAACTTAAACTGCTTATTCGTTGTATCTCTTAACTTTTGTTTTGTTTGCAATTACACCTTCATAACTTATCAGTTATTCTTTTAAAAAAGTCCCAGTGGCATTTCTGTGGAAAAGATTAATTTGAAAGTATTGGTCAAATCATTTTGTCATTTTTAATATAGTAATGTCATCTTTATTTAGCAGCCTAGTCGTGTGTATGTTGTTAGTCTCTTGAAACACGTCTATTCTTCGACTCTTATTATATGACCTTATTTTGTAATGTTGCAAGTGCAGTAAAACACTTACTAAAACAAAACTCTATAGCAAAACCTCTTATCTCCAGCACTTATAATATGACCTGCTGTATTGCAAGTGCTGTAATACTCTTATTAAATATAGACCTCTAGCTGGCATTATTCTACTAAGAACTGTCAGATGGTTCCAGAGTGCTGTTATTATGTTTGCAATGATGGCTGAGCATCGGTGGCCTAGTGGTTAGGCTCTCGGACTCGCAACCGTAAGGTCGTGGGTTCGAATCCCGTCAGGGGCTCGACGTTGTGTCCTTGGGAAAGGCACTTTACACGAATTTTCCTCACTTCACCCAGGTGGGAATGGGTACCCGGCTGTAGACAGCGAAAGATCTTGTCAGTTTGTTAGTGTTTGAGCGCTTAATCAGCTGCTTGTACTGTATGCTTCCCAGGAAGCTGAGAATGTTTCTGAGTGTTCTATGGTCTGCTGGGGTAATAATATAGTGTAAAGCGCATAGAGCCTGCTGTTGAGCGGGGATATGCGCTATATGAATGCTATCTATTATTATTATTATTATTATTATTATGTACACTCTGTACGTTAAGAGAGTCGTTGTAGATTTGTGTAATATAATTATGGAGGGGGGGGGGGGGGGTGAGGATGCTCAATTTCTCTTCGTGGGTAGCCAAAGTGCCACTAACATCGACAGAATGAGTTAATGAGTATTTCTGCTTTATTTTCTCCTTCAAGGTTCTCCGCAGAGAAAGTGTTCGACCCTGAGACCGTGATTAAGTAATTTATGGCAGTTCTGCCTTGATTAACCTCGCCTCAACCATTACACGTTAACAACCCCCATACCCCTGCCCTACCTTACTGCCTCCTTCCACATGCACACAATGATTTCATTGACCAGTGGCCATTGATTTGATGTACAATTCCCCTCCTGCTACCTCCACCATTTGTACTTTTGTCCTCGAAAGAAACAGAGAAGAGAAAAGAAAAAGAGGAAGTAGAAATTTTTTTTTTTAAAGAAAAAGCTTAATAAAAAAAATTGAACAAAGTAGTGGAACTTTTCCCAAGTTCATATCTTCGCTGTCGCAAGCAATAAATTTAAGTCCAGATTTTAATAATTTTCTGTTTTTACTCCCTCCCAAAGCTTTATCAAAGATGCACCTTTCAACGTCACCAAAATGCAGTTAAATGCTGTGATCAAAGGCTTACAATTTTCTTGCTTTTCATGATTTTTTTTTTTTTTCATGAACAGCACCACAAAAACTTTTTTTGTCTCTGATATTAAAAAGTACCCAAAAACTCTGAAATGGATTGCGTGCAACACTGACAATATCACATCCACATTGTTTTTGTCTGTGCACAGGTCGCAGCATCTGCTTTACCCTCCCTTGATGCCACCGTGTGCCTTACACCCCGAAGTGTTTCCTTTTTGTTCCTTCCACTCCTTTATCCCTTTGTTTTCTACCTCTAAAGTTGATAAGATTTACATGTTTTGCCAATGAAATAAGGCACTTGCTGAATGCACACATCTTAAGATTAAAAGAGTTGACAGCTATTATACACTTTGTGTCAGCCCAGGTAATGAAGCATTTGGCTCACTGTAATCGACTTTGATTGAAAGTTTGCTGACAGAACATAACCATGATTGGATGGCCAGTTTTTTTGTAGAAGTTACTTAAAGTGAAACATCAAAACGTTCGAGTTGTGAAGTTACACAAAAGAGGCCCCTCTATGTTGTGAAATAATGATGTATTAACTATTGCAGACTGTGCACACTGCGCTTGTTTTGTCCTTACTTTCCTCTTCAATATTTGAATTACTTATTTCACTCTACATTTTTCTTTCCTGTAGGAAACTAGACAAGCAACTTTCTGTCAACTTACTGAGGACTTTGCTCAAGGTAACTCACTCTGTTTTTATTCATTTTTTAATCAGAGAGTGATCTGTATGCATCATTTTGTCTGATTTCACATCTAGAGCTCCGACAATAATTCAAAGATTTTAAAAAAAATAAATGATTCAAGCTTTTAATGCCATGCTCTCCCCTATTTGAATCATACTTGGAATTTACCACCTATCCAAGACTACCACGTGTATAAACAACCATTGTCCACTGCTCTGTTCTTTTATTTATCAATCAACAGCCCACAAAACCTGTCCAAGGCAACCACACAAATCCCCAACAACAACAACCAAAAAAAACCCAAACTTCCCTTTTTGCCCTTCCTCCAAAACAAAAAAAGAACATTTGTGAGGCCGCGTGGTGGAATCAGGCTCTCGTCAAAATAATCAAAGTGAAGAAACTTGCATTTTCCCGCAGGTTTGTGAATTTTTATCAAATTTTTGTTTTTTGGCTCAACACCTTTCATGCCCATTAAAGAACTCATTTCTGTGTGGATTTTTCTGAAAAACGTTGATTAAAGGCACAAAAAATGTTAATGTTCAGTTACCACAGATTCTTAAGCTAAGGAAATAACTAATCTTTGGCGGCCATTTTCTCTCTAACTTTACCACTGAAAACAGGTGACCCCCACCTCCTTCATTTGCAAATATCTCGACTTGTATTCAAGATAAATTGATATTTTTTTCATCCAAATAAAGGCAAGTGAACAAGCTTTAAGATGATACCAATAACTCCACGTGCCCAAAAATTGAGGAGCGCCTTATTCCACCACGATGCCTCACATTTTACTGAACCTAATGGCAGTCCTAAACCTGCGACAGCCTCTGGTTTCGACCTCAGGAGCTTTTGTTTCCTTAATTTTTACCAGTTCTGCTTAAGACATCAACTTGTCTAAGACAATCATTGTCTCCTCAACAATGGATGGCCATCCTTTTATTCTTCTTCTTCTTCTCGATCGTATCACACCTGAAGTCCGGTATCTGTCATATATTGGGCCATCCTACTCAGTTCATCTGTCAGCCCGTACAGCTTCTCTTGTAGTGCCAGTGGGGGCCATCTTAGACAACTATCTGGTCTCATGTTCATGTCAAAGTTGCAAATTCTAAAAACCCAAGACTTCACTTTTGCTGATAGGGTGGTTTTTAGAATTTGCAACTTTGACATGAACATGAGACCAGATAGTAAACAATTTGTCTAAATCTGACAGCAAAAGAACAGAGTTGTCTAAGATGGCTACTGTGGTTGTTCCACTGGGCAGGTCCTGGGCTGTCAGAACTAGTCCAGTTTATTGTGTGTGAAGGGGAACACATCTGTGTCAGTGCTCAGGGCTTAGTGGCAGGAAACATGGAGTTGTTTAGGTACAATGACTGACTGCTGTGCTGACCACACTCATTTAAATATGTACATGCGCGTGCGCACACACACACACACACACACACACACACACACTTAGTCACTGCACTGACCAGGCACAAGCACATACATACACACCATACGTGCACACACACTCATTTAGTCACTGCACTGACCACGCACAAGCACGTACATAGACACGCACCATACACACACACACCCATGCACACACACACACATACACTTACTCACTGCACTGGCCAGGTACAAGCACATACACACCACACACACACACACACACACACACACACACACACGCG